GTTCCTCAGTTTCTTTGATAATGTATGGCATAATCTCTCACTGTGGTCTGTGCAGTATGTAGATAGCAATGGATTTTTCATATCATTTTGATATCTGTCTGTATTTGTGCAAGTTTCTTCATGAGGTTGATAGATTTCCATTCCATACGGCTAAATGCAGTGCCTTGCATGGTGTCAAGTATCAGAGGGGTAGCCGTGTTAGTCTGAATCTGTAAAAAGCAACAGAGGGTCCTGTGGCACCTTTGAGACTAACAGAAGTACTGGGAGCATAAGCTTTCGTGGGTAAGAACCTCACTTCTTCAGATGCAAGAAATGGAAACATTAACCAATTAAGCATGAGCTCTTAGGAATTAATTTAGTTGCTGAATCTGGATCAGATTCACAAATTGTTAGAAGATGGAAACTCTAGGTCTTAGGAACACAACACATGAAAACTCATGATCAGATGGGAGTTCTTAGATCAGAAAACAATGCCAACAAAGCACCTTACATCCATTGTGCCTTAAGCAAGTACTCGCGTTGGGCCTGGTGTGGTAGCATATTACAGCTGAACTAGCAGAGGAGAATTGGGCCATTAGCTATTTTCTATTTCAGTCTCAGTAGGAGCATCGTTCTGTATGTTCTCCTACACAGCTGAAACCCAAAGAAGAAATATCAGATCTGTGAGTTTCTGAGGCTAAGTTACCCACCTCAGGAGGAACATACAGTCATTTAGCATGTTTGTAACTAGTACCTGCAGTGCTCATAAGCAGAGTTCTGCAAATTCACAGATGTTACTCCAAAAGGTCAGTTTTCTTAGGCCTGAGGGTAAGACTCAGAACACAAAGTCCCAGACAAACAGACTGCTAAAATGTTATGTGCAGTCCAATAAAAGATTTTACCTCACTCACCATTCTCTCTAATGTACAGTAGTTTAAGAATAGTGATTCTAAACATGATGTGGTGACTCTAAATATGAAGGGGAGTTTAATCAATAGCCAAGGCAAAGACCTAGGAAAAGGGAAAAGGTTAACATTAACTGTGTTGGTGGAAAATGTGCTGGCTGCATTAGCTACAAATTAAGGTATGCAGGGATCTGTCCATAAATCCCACTGAAGTCTGTATTAGTCAAGTGCAGAGCTAGTCAGTGCAGGACTCACTGTTTCAATATGTGATCAAGAAAGCAGCAGCAAAAAAGTCTTTACATACTGTTTGTTACTTGAAGGATACAATTATAGCCCATGAAAAATCACATTTCTGAAAATATCTGTAGCTCTTATGTCGGTGCCCCGCTACATATAAATCATAGGAGATTGAGATCAGGAAGTAAAAATTAGTTAGGAAAAACTACAGTCTTTCAAACTCAGACTTTCAGAAAGTTCGCAATAGTTTCTTGCCAGGAAAATCTCTACACATCTCTACCATATTGAGGTAATGCTGCAAATTCCCAACTAAAAGCCAACTGCATCAAAGTCGCTTTGTTTCTTCTATACATTATTACTTATTAAATTGTATTGAGCCACTCATATAACACAAGGCCTGGTCAAATTCCTCAGAAGCCAAGAGGAATTGAGGATGATCAGGAGGTGGTAAGGATTTCTCACTAATGAGTTGGGTCCCATGGTGCTTTAACAAAAACCAGTGCAAATACATTAAAGGGATTTAATTTACCTTGACCTTGTAGTATTCCTTGACTTCAGGCCTAATGGAATCAAAGTCGCCGCTGATGTAATCAGGCAAGAAGCTGAAAGAAAAGCAATGAACAGTAAAATGAAAAATTAAGGCATCTTATTTTCTTAAATTAAAAAAAAAATGGGGGAGGAATATTCTTCTCCCAAAGGAAAAGAAACAAGATTATGAAGTAGTCTACATCCAAAATTAATATTAACTAAGTAAGCCCCTATCTGAACATGCTACAAGTCTAATAAACTGGTGTCCTCTCTATTCTAAGGGGCAAATACTACACCTTTACATAGACACATGCAACTCCCAGATGGAGTTCAGAAGGAGCTGTGCATGCATATTTTAAGAAAGAGATTTAGAGCCAATCTCTCTCTTTTTTAAATTTAAATACATTGCCATCAACAAAACAGCTTAAAAGCCAATTCATTATACCATATCATCTAGTCTCTTAGGATCTTGTTCCTTTGTTAACAGCAATAATAGTTTCAGGGTGTCAGACATTTAGCAGAATTTGTTCTTTTATTCAAGTGTTGTAAGACATTATAAGCAAGTGGAATGCAACATAATATCTCGCTTGCATTGGCTTGAAAGAATAATGGATTACTTGATGGGAGAGGGAAACCACAAAAGGCCTATGAGTGAGCTTCTATGTTGGCAAGCAGCACATAGAAAGTTTTAAATCTCCCCCAAGGGATCTGAATTAGCCCTCTGCACCTTCAGATGTCATGAAGCCTTTTGAGCTTTTGTGGGCTGGCAGCCACTAAAGATAATTTGTTGCCCAATTTAGCACTCAGGAATCTGTTCCATACATTGCACCCACACACACACACAAATAGCTAATCAAATAAAAGTTACATGAAAATCCATTTAATTTGGCTTTCATTCTCCTAGTGATTTAGTACACTAGAAATATATTGAATAAAGTCAGTTTGGTTAATCTTCTTCCTGCTGTGGTGTGCTCAGATGCATTGCATGAGATGCTGGGTTTATTTTCTCTCTAAATACCTATGGAGAAGAGGACACACTGTATTAATATTGGCAACTGCTCATTTGGTTTTTCAGGTGGTTTATTTTTTACGTTATTACTGATTTTCTATTTTATTATGGTTCCCTTTTATTAAAAAAAAAAAAAAACAACTTTCCAGTGGTAAGTACTCCTAAAATTATCTATGCCTGAGAGTTTGGAAACATTATCTCCTAAAAATAATAAATGAATGTCTAAGATCCATAAGAATTTAATTTAAATTCTTAAAAGCATCTCTCCTAAAGTCTCATTGTCTTTGCTGTAAACAACAGAGGAATAGAGATTTTAGGGTATTTATTTTACCTTAATTGGGTTGTTTTCTCCCCAGTATAGCTTTTAAGTGCATCAAACAGATTTGTAAACGCCATTATTATTTTCAAATGCATAATGAAACTTAAACTGTGCTGTACAAAGTATCATTTAAGAGTTTTGAAGAAAATAGTTTTCCCCCTTACTAAAATCTTGTAAATTTAAATTTAGATCAGATAGCAAGAGAGATGAACAGGCAAGATAGCATTATGAAAGTGCTGGTTACTGTTCCACAGAGAAAGCTGAAGTTAGTTTTGAAGTTAAGTAGGGATTGGGCCATTTTGTAACTTTCTCTTCAGGTCAGCATGATTTTTCAAAGGATGTATAAGTAAATTCACTCACTGGCTTAAAACTTAAAATTAATTTTAAAAAGGTCCTTAAAGAAATTTAGCACCACATCAGGAAAATTTTCTCCCACTTAACAGAACAACATCTTCTTTAAAGTTCCCACATGATTAAAGCTCATAAAAATCTTCTGTACTGGTTATATTAGATTTTTTTCTTTAAAGACTTAATAGTTATTTGCCATCATTGTTCTTAATAACTGAAAGTTGTTTTTTAGCAGGGGCTGAAAGTAATACTCTTCTACACAGCATTCAGCATAGAACTACCCTCTTTCAAACAGCCACCAGTGTTCCCAACAAAAGCAAAGCCAACCTGTTCTCAGGGAAAATGGCAATCCCCTAGGCTGTCTAGTTTTACCCAAGACTCCTGTATACTTGAGCAGGACACCCCATGTTTTAGGTAATACTCCTGCACACCCACTGATGTCAATAACAAAACTCTCTACACCTGATCTTCTCATTCTCATCAGTGTAGCCCTACTGACTTCAACACAAGTGTAAGTGAGAAGAGAATCAGGCTCATTCACTTCAGTGGAAATAGGATTGGACTCCTGGTTTGTTCTATTCAGACAAAGAACACCTGTTCAATAAAGCTGCTAGCAATTTAGTTTGCTACTCAGCGTAGGTATATTAATTAGAAGGAAAAACAGTTGTTATGAAGAGCATCATATGATATCTCACATTTACTTCTATGAACTTCCATAGATCATTAGCTGCTTTATAATTAACCTTGCTCAAACACCACACACAGTCCAGAGGTTTTAATGTGGGCAAAACTGTCATTTATGATCACCTGTTTTCTTATGCTTTAATTCCTTACACTAATTACTAGCTGCTGTGTTTTTCTAACCATTAAACATTTCATAACATTGAAACATAGATGTTTCAAGAAACATATTGAGGGGCTAGGAACAGAACTACAAGAGAAATAGAAACAAAACAAATCCTCTCCAGGTAGCAATTTACCCCAGAGATTCTGGCTTAACCCAGATTGATGCTAAGAAACCCTTGCTAGTTGAATTTCCATCCATGGAATTTTACAAACAATAAACTCAAGAAACAAGTACAAACCAAAACAAGTAGCTTTGCTGTGTCCCTAGAACACACTGCTTTGGCTTCTGATCAATACAACTGCTACATAGGTCTCTCTCCTCTGGGCAAAATAAATCTTTTTAAAATGTTGACTTCAAATGGATTCAGCTTCACCTAATTATCTCAAAGCTAGACATGCCTGCCTGAGAGGCCTGGGAACTCTGGCTGAAAATGAACCACCAAAACCCCAGGCCACTGCCTCTCCCTAGAAACACCACTGGGGGCTGGAATAGAGCAAGGCTTCAGAATCCCCCGCACGGAGCACCAAACTGCCTGAGTGCTCAACCACAAGATTATGGTAACTTCTCCTTTCTTCTCTTCCCCCAAAACATACAAAAACAAACAAAGGAGGAAAATCTTTGAAAGGGTACAGCATTCGTGGAGGATGCAAAAGACACACGCTATGGGTTAGATTCACAAAGTTACTTAAATGAGCATCACCATGTCTATCTTTTAGGTGTCTGGAAAAGCACTGGGATTCACAAAATCAGGGTTAGGCATCTAGGCTTCCTATACAATGAATGGGGAGAGAGAGGCACCTCAGAACGGGATTCACAAAAAAACTGGTGGCTCCTTGCCTAAGGTAGCCCAGGGGAGCTGCTAAGCCCCGCTGCCTCTCTCAGAGATAGGCATCTAAAATTGGCCTGCAGGGGTGCAACTCTCTCTGCCTGGGGGAGTCAGCTGTAAACTCTGTTCTATGTGACAGTCTATACCTCAAAGCAGCACCCTGGAACCCTCATATTCACCACTGTCATATAATTATGATCTGTTTTGTACAAAGTATGCCTTGTGAGGTATCATTTTAAATGTCTTGATCTATTGAACATTAATATCCTGTTGGATTGTATGTACTATAGTTATATGTGAAATTATGAAGTATTGCTATATGTGTTACTGCAATATGTTGTGAGGTTGGGAACACCCACGGCCAGCCTTTCAGTTACAACAAAGGAGTAGCCATCACTGGCCAGACGCTCATTAATGGCTCATCAACACACAAACCACTATCACAGAGGCTCCTTAGAGAAGGCACATATGCAATGGAAACTGCTTGATCAATGGAGACTGCCTGGCCCCCACATCACAGCAAGGATCTTTCTAACAGCTGGAAGAAAGTATAAAAGAGGGAGAATGATATCATCATGTGGCTTCTCTCCCCCACTCCATGCCATCTCAACACCTGGAGGACCATCTGGAGGAAAAAGACTTTGAACAGTGAAAGAATGATCCCGGACTGTAAAGGGAGTCCAGTATGTGTATTGAGGAATTGTAAAAGACGGTTACTCACCGTTGTAACTGTTGTTCTTCGAGATGTGTTGCTCATATCCATTCCATTAGGTGTGTGCGCGCCGCGTGCACGATCGTCGGAAGATTTTTACCCTAGCAACACCGGCGGGTCGGCTGTGGAGCCCCCTAGAGTGGCGCCTTCATGGCGCTGAATATATGCCCCAGCCGACCCGGCGCCCCCTCAGTTCCTTCTTGCCGGCTACTCCGACAGTGGGGTCGGTGGGCGGGTTTGGAATGGATTTGAGCAACACATCTCGAAGAACAACAGTTACAACGGTGAGTAACCGTCTTTTACAATTCCTCAATA